AAAAACAGTCCAGTAGATTATTTTCGTCGACCTGTTAGTTTAATTTTGGATTTTGCTAATAACTCCTTTTCTGCAGTCGGTCGATAGTCTTTGAAAATTCCTAAGTCCTTTTTTCTAAAAATGCTGGGTTTGTCTTCCTCTCTGGTACGGTCTTTAACTACCAACAGGATGCGTGCAACAGAGACCTCTTACGTTTGACATCTTCCTTTTACATAGACAAAGTGCTAATAAAATAGTTGATGTGACTTGCTGCGACCTGCAACCAACCGAAGGACTGACAAGGCCTTCGCAGCCCTTACTATGTAATAAAGCACTCTCTACGGATGGTGAACAACGCTTGCAAGTAGAGATAATTTATAAAAGTTGAGCTCTCCCCACAACAAAGCATCTAACCTTAAAAATTACAGCTTGGAAGCAGCCAACAAAGTTAACTGGGAAATTAAAACACATGATAAGAGTTCAGGAATCACAGAGCTACGAATGTGGGGGGGAGGAAGAGGCAGAAGACGTGGCTGGAAAAAGGAATATCTTATTAGATCACTGATTCGCAACTGCTGACGTGCGCGCAACTTTGCAAAAATATTTTTTCCTATCCCAAAAGCGATTTTTTTTCGGCTAGCTTGTGAAAAGCGATTAATACTGATATTGAATAAAAACTAGGAATTAAGAAAGATGAGAAATAATCAACTTTTTAATCGGCTGACAAAGTGAAATGTTCTTTTTCAAGAAGTATCGCCATTAAGTGGAGCATTTTTGGAGTAGTCCGTAAAGGATTCCTGGATATCGATCAGAACACTACGTTGGAAAAAGACTGCTATCAGGAGATCTGGAAGGAAACGTGGGCTAACTGCGCCTGAGGCTGGCAGAAAAAGACATGGTAATGTTGGGTGAATTATAACACTGAACTCAAGTTTATCGTATTAAAGAAGTTGTAGATAGGGTTCCGCTTATCCGCCTTACTCTTTGAACCATCCTGCCACTAATTATCGTTAGTTTTGGAATCCCGAGTTACTCATTTTTAATGAAAATTCCCACGAAGTGGAATTTGTAAAACAGTCTTGACTTCTGAGTTGGTGGACTCCGGTAGTAATGGAGCGCTAAACTGTGTATTTCAATGAAGGAAAATTTGATACCAAATAAAGTTCTGATCAGTGATATGGCAAAAGCAATAATGCGACACCAGTAACGGACTGAATTAAACTTAACAGCGATAATCAGGGCAATAAAACGCCTTTTTCCATGAGTTCCTTGTGTTCACGTTAGTAACAGTTCTGATAAAATAAACTGAGAGTTAACAAAGTAAAGCCTTAAAAAGATGAAAAAAAATCAATCAAAATTAAGATGGCACTTTTACGGCAACAGTAAATGAAGGAAAAGCAAAAAATGAGATGAAAAAAATT